CACTTATATTTTCATGTTATTGAAGAAATTTATAGTTATTATAGCTCAGTACTGATTATAAACAACACCAGAGTATTAGGGTTTCCTTATTTTATAATACTTTTATAATGTTTGTTATATTATGTGTTAATTAAGTTAAGTAGATACATGTCTGAATCAATAACAACACATAAGTAAACTGTTTAAACCATTAGATTAAGGTTTTTTGTCTGAATGGCGGTGATTCAGCCATAGGTCAGCAGGGGGCGAACTCAGGCATTGACGATTCTGTATATATACTGGTCCATTTCCTGTTTTACTCCCAGTGTGTGTGGTTTTGACTTGCCAGCCAGTGGCAAAATAAACCCCCACTCCAGAATTCTGGTGTTGTATGACATTTTTTTCTTATCACAGATCATTTTATTTAACATTTGTGTTTCCATCTGACTTCAGCCGATATTAAACACGTATTTTCTTACATTATTATACATGTTCTCATTATTTATGGACTGTATCTAAAAAAATATGAAAGATATTTTAAAATTAAATGAAGATATAAGACGAGATAAAATACAATGACTTAAATTTTATTATTGTATATACTAGGTCATCAAATCAGTGTCAGTTGAGTCTGTCAACTAGGTTGCCTGTAGGGATCATTAACGTCCAGCCGGTGTCAGTATTCAGTGACACAGCATCAATACGTTTTTTTAATAAACTTTATTTACAAAATAACAACACACAATCAAAAACAGTAATATACTCAAAGAGAGAGAGAGCATAACAGGTAAAAAATGCAAAAACAAAATAAGCAGAAGACAAAATAGAAGGTTATAACTTAATTTTTCACATAATTTTTTTAGTTTTATAGCTTTCAAATTTGTGCAGTTTCAATGAGTCCAAGTAACAGTTCAAATAGGTCCTAAAAACAGTGAAATTGGGTTTTTGTTTTGCAAATTAGTGTCAATACAATTTGGCAATGTGTCAAAACGTTTCATGACGCCTCATCACTAGAAACAGTTATTGAATAAGCTGGTGTGTGTTCTATGTTCTTGTGTTCAGGTTGAAGTCCTGTGTAAGTGCTCGACTCTCTAAGAAGAGCCTTCTGAGTTCCTTCCTTGTTGGAGTCTTGAAACCAGTTGTGAAACCCCTTCGCCGCCGCCAACCTGCCTCTCTCCTACGAAAAGCAGCCTGTGAGAACAACTGCATTGCCTACTTAATACTTCTCCTGGAAACCTCCTTCAGTCCTCCCTTCCATGCCAGCCTCCACACCAAGATGTAAGAGAAAATAAAACAATATTCAAGCATCTCCTCCACAGAAAAACTCATTAAAACAAACCTTTTCCATTTGCAGCAAATCTCATCAATGTCAATCCAGTCAGTTTTTTTTTGGTACTCTTTAGAGCCAAACCTGCTGATTCAACACGCAGCTGCTTGTGTTCTCACACAAACTTGATCTGAACACATTGCAGCCTTTCTATAGGCCTACATAAAATGTATAAACAAAGCTTGAGCTGCACTGCATAGATTTAGAGGTAAACAAACAAATAGAATGAATTGAAGGCTTGGCATTCCTTGAAGGCAGACACGTCACCCACTGCATTTCATGGTTTGAGTTGGATCATTTTATATGAGAATAGACAGTCGTAACCATTTTGGTTTAACTTGAACGTGACTTTATGCACAATCTGATGTAATATTGTGAAATTTTGAGCTCAGTATCTGTAAAACTGACCTAATATAGTCATTTTTATGTTTTCTAAGGTCAGATGCCTGAGTCGATTGACCTTAAATGGGGAAAGTCTAATGGATGAAATCCAGTGACCTCCTCTGAGAAACAGCTCTGCCAACTGTGCCATAGCTGGCTGTGGTGGCCATCTTGAATTGTACAGACAACAAAAGTTAATTATTGCAGCTATTCAGTGATTACTTTATGAAGAATCACTTTATATTTTCATGTCTTCTCTTTCTTGAGAGTTTATTTAGTAGTTTGTGATTCCAGTGTGTTGCTTTTTGAACAGAACTTTGGAACACTCACGTTAAGTGGTGGGCTGTATTATAAGGTCAGAGTGCAGTGTGTAAAGCTTCACTTTTTTTAAAAACATTCCAAACAAAAATGCTGTGATATCAGCAAACAACAGAACTCACAGAGTCACGCCCGACTGAAGAACTGATCAGAACTATATAAAAGGTCAGACTCATTACCTGAGCTGAAAACACATGCAGCATAAAGTTGGAGAATAAGAGCGGGTGGACGGGGCAGAAGCAGGACAGACTGATCAGAAATGCACTTCACAAATACAAAACAAATGGACACAGATCCTAATAAATACAATATAGAGTAACAAAAGGCACATAAGAAGTGCTTTTACTTTTTAGTTTATAAAGTTAATCTGAATAGCATGTACCTGCTTTATGTCTTTTAAAGATTGGAAAATGTTTGCATTAGCTTCTGTTTTAAACCAACCAACCTCCTGAGACTCTCCATCCTCATACAATGACATTGGATTTTTGCCTCTCTTCACTATGATGCTTAATTTTATTTCCAACTTTGACTCACAAGCCTCATCATTGACAGGACCAGCACCATCTAGTGGTCACATAACAACATTACATTCATTTCAGTGAAAACAAGATGGCGGGGGTCCCAGTAAAAAGCTTCTACAGCAACTTTTGTCAGAAAAATAAGCAAGATAAAAATCCAAATAATTTCTTGTGTCTGAAACTAATGTATGCATGCACAGTGACATCTTCAGCTTCACAAGGCATGTAAATTTGACAGTTTGTTGCAGTTGTACCAAAGTACATTGTTGGTAAAGATGAGGTCCTCATTTGAGGACATTGGGACTATATTTTGTGTGGTTGGATAAATCTGAGAGCTCTGAGAAGAGTTCAGAAATGTAAATAGTTATTGTAAGAGGTATCTTTGGTTACAAATTTTGGTCAGACACATCTGGTAACATTCAGAACAGTTCACAAACATAAACAGTTACTTGAAGTTGTATGCTTGTTCAACCAATTAATTATAACAAGGAAGTTCTGGTCAAATGCTCTGTAACTTCCTGCCATCATGTCACATAATTGGTTCTTCACACTGAGGAGCAATCCAAAAGTTGTCATTGATGATGATGATGAAACACTTCACTGATCTTGCTCTAGTCAACAGCTGGCTTCTGTGTTGCCAAAAATAATAACCAAGAAAAGTGTATCCCCAGAATAGCTATAATGAAGTTTCTCAAGTTTTGCATGGGAATTGCTCAGGCATTCCTCAAAAAGTGTGACATTCTTAGACCCAGTGTCCCCATATGAGGACATCATTCTCGGCAAAATCCACTTTTGGTACCATGACAGAGTGTTGTACTTATAGCCCAAGGGCCAGACCACTTTTTGGTCCATTTCAGGGTGGCAAAGCTTCATCACAATTTTTGAAAAGCTACATGTCTGTAGATGATATTTTTGGTATGATAGCCCAAACAGAGTGGTAGCTAAATCACAGCTATCAGCTAATAAAGTTAATAACCCGTTAAGAAAACTTCTGTTTTTGACACTTTTGTATAGCTAGTTTAGGCTCACGATACGAACATTGGTCAAAGATGTTTATTATTGTGTTTGGTATCATTTTAAAGGGGACTCTCTGGGCTTTCATTTAAGCCCTTATTTGTGTCCCCTTTAAAATGACACCAAGCATAATATTATACACCTTTGACCTTTTGGTGGAAAATAAATGCACACCAAACAAAAGCTTGGGTCTACTAGGTTTAATCTCAAAAACATCACAATGGTTCAAACACTAGTTTATGAACCACCTTGTTGCATACAACAATTATTTCAGCTCAAATACAATATTTTAAAAGCCGAGTCTACATTGAAAGTGCTACAGCTAGCTGCTGCTGCCACTGTTTGTGCTGGCCAAAAAGCAAAACAAAGGATTCTGTTTTAGTAAGAATATAAAATGAAGTGAATTTGGTGTGAAGGTTTATAAATATTATTTTCACTCTAAAATATCTGACAGTAGAGTCCAAAGCAGAAAGACTCACACAGCATTAATCAGTTAGCAGGAAGTAACAAACGTCAGAGGGTTGTTTGGTTGGTTAGATGTGTAATACTTCCTGCTTCTTTGTGGGGAGTTTGTTTAGAGAACATCCTGGAAGTTGTCCGGGTTAGAGCTGTTAGTTTGGTCAGACACAAAAGTTCAATTTGATTTATTTAGTATTTAACTTGATCCTGACTGGGGGGGAGATCTCAACAATAGACGGACGTGGTGTACTCTAGGCTTGTTTTTATCTCTCACCTTTTAAAACAGCTTTACAAAATCATTAGTGTACATTATAATGTGATTAAGAAGCTGGAATATTTTTGAGTTTCTGTAACACTCTCTTAAAGCTCTCCTTTCAGACCAATATATAACTGTTGAACACATTCAGAGAGCCATGGGCAGCCTCTGTCAGCAGTCTAGTATTCAGATGTCTAAAGACAATAGAAGGAAATGGGAAGCCCCCAGCACATAGCCAAGTCTTCCAGAAGCTACCCAGAGCACGAATTGGAACGTTTAGTCAACTTTACATAAGTTAATTAGAAGTCAGGACTACTTGAACACATTGTCACTCAGGACAAAGAAAGGGTGATTCAAAGTGATGGCTGAAGGTAAGACACTGTCTTTAACATAGTCATCTTTAACAGCATTTATCCTTTATGAAACAAGATGAAGTGATTCTTAAAAGAGGGAAATTAAACAAAATGTAGTAAACATGAAGATGAAAAGATCACAGGTTTCTTTTTTCTCATAGGTTTATCTTTATTTTTACAGAAATACAGTTAAGAGAAAAGAAGCCGAGAAGTCTGCCCCGCTCTCATGGGTGTGGTCTGTATAACTATGATGGTATGTTCTTTGATTTCTCACATTTCTTCTTTGTAGTTATACATCATGTGGTCGGCAAAATAATAAACTACGATAAACAGTTTGTTACTGTTGCATCTGTACAGGGAGACAGTTTTTTTCTTACTAATATTACTATAAATTCAGTATTGTAACATGGTAAAAAAATACATTTCTGAGTTTTACTTTGCTTCACTACCACCTAAAATCATGAAATGTTTTTTTAGAGGTTCATTTTTGAATACAAGTTTGATAAATTTTATGTATTTTTATATTTATTTTTGCTTATTTAATAAATTATTGTCTTGAAGATACTTTAAAT